ACGCTAACTAATTAAAAGCATAGTAGTAATTGCTTCTCTCTTTGGTTATAATATTTATGATTTTGTATGTTCATTTTTCGAATATGTTGCTACATGTTACTGTGGTACAGTAGGTGAGGTATTTCACGCCCCGGTTGACGTGTGGAATGCTGACTAACTTCTGGATTCCTGCGCCGGTATCGCCTGAAACTCAAAATCATAGAGCTCATTTGGACATCAGGGCAAAATTTTTTACGAACCTAGTAGTTAACATCTGGAATAAACTTCGTTCTGATTTAGTGGAATGTGAATCTGCAGAAGCCTTCAAAATGGGCTTAGATGAGTGTTGGTCTGTCCTTTCCCAGAGATATTGTAATTGTACTGCAATATGTAGTGTATTTTGATGCTGACACATGAAAGTGCAAAGATTACTCTTGTTCTTGCTTCATTCCTTTGCAGAAGCAAGCAGTCAATCCAACGTCGAAGTGCCGGGGGCCGCTTCACATACCGGCACAAGAAACAGGACGTTCGTTAGGCGAAGGCCTCTATCGTCCGCTGTACCTGACCTGACCTGGATTCCAATATCCCAGATAGTACCTCTAAAGCAGTCACGAGGCCTTCGTATTTTAGTGAAATGTAGCCTTTTTGTGCTTTGAGTGTTTGAGTCAGTTGAATATAATTAAATTCTACAGGAATTTGACGTGTGTTAGTCGCTGGCTGCCCTAGACCGACATTGCAGTGAGCATCTCGTAAGTTCGCGTTTTGTTAATTTTCGGCGACCAGCGAGGCCTGGAGATCTCATTGACGGAATCAGGACGCGTTTCCTAACGTTCTCTCTTTCCATTAATATATAACCTGAGAAGGCTTTTTCTTGCGAATCTTGGAAACTCCTTCTAATCCTGTTGCTGTTCTCCGACGCCATCAGGGAAGCCGAGGGCGCCGAAACTTTCTACCCTGCTGCTGCAGCCTACAGCTTTGCTGCAGAGGAGGAAGCCGGTTGTTAGATCTTCACTTTTCTTCGCTATTCCGAATTAACCACCCAGAAATTTCTCCGCAGCAATTCTAGCCCAGCCGAAGAAAAATCAAAATTCCAACAGCCTTGACCACGAAAAACGTGTTAACAAAAAACTCTGCTAACGTAGCCAGATAAATGCCGCCGAAAACACTGCCGTCTCAACTCTGAGGCGAAAGTCCAATTAGCCGAGTGTTTGAAGACGCATTCGTCCGCTCGATCGATTGCCTGATCGACCGCACGGGGTAGGCGATTCCCTTCAGCCCAGCTTTCAATCACCACTATATACTTTCCCTTTTTTCGTTTATGATTTTATCTGATTCCCGGATACTGGTTTCGTCCATTAACAAAAAGCTGCCGATATGTGCCATCCTTAAGCAAAATAAGGTTGGTGCACTACTAACTGGAGGCCGCTGCGAGAATCTTTTACCTGTAGTACGAAATCAAACGTGTTTTAAGAACGGAACACGCTTTCCGGTGATAAGGTGGAATTCAAGCTGTGGTATTGTGTGCTTTCCACAACGGGCAAACGGATTTTTTTCAGAAAGAGGATCGCCTCCATTTCTTCCAGTTACATGGAGTAACTGCGCTGCACATGTAAATTCGCTGCATGCACTCTAACGGATGACATGCAAACCAGACGTGAGAACTGTTTGTCTTAATACTCTCAGCTGGATGCACTTCTTGAACTGGGACTATCCCCTAATGTCATCCTGCTCACACAAAGTTGCATCTAGTTCTCTACATCAAGCCGGTTGCGCACACACCAACTCAGCAGTGCCGTTAAGGAAAGAAGACAAAGAGAACTTGAGTTAAAATCTAAATGACACATGCACATGTCTAGACCCTAGGTGCGTGCAATTCACTAATACTACGGGAGGACAATACATAGACAGCGGCTTGCGTCTACCGCTTCCCTCGGCTACATCAGCACCAAGCAATCTTAGTTCAAATATTTATCAGGTCACGGACGATCATTACGCACAAGTTCCTGCCGTCTCCAGATGCGCAAGGCGGTAACAGTTAATCCGAGAATGGATGCTGAAGCTGGCCAACTGAAACGTATATAATATACGGACATCTCATTCCCAGTGTCGGGACCAACGACTTCCCCTTAGAAGTTTACCCCACGCCCCACTTGAAAAAGTAGAAAACATGCATCTCTGTAAGCCAAGAAGTGGCATAATTCCTGAGTGCCTTGACAAATACATTTTGTTCATGAATATATTGGGCAACCAGCCTTAGTTGTTGAAATAACTGAATAACCTAATCCTCAACGCTGAAAGCACAGAACTGCTTTGTAAGTTTAATTGCGGAGCTAACGTAAGGTAAGTAGTGCAAACTTCCTGGAAAATAATCATGCAAGCATTTTGATTGGCAAATTTCCAGATAGCAAGAAGGAAAAACCTTTCAGCAAGATACTCTGAATTCCGATATTCCGGCCATTCTTATTAGCTGTTATCCTACAATACGTAAAAATGGAGTTGCGCCTAAAAAGAAACAACGTGCAAGGTCAATGGGCTTAAATTTAAGACAACCAAGAACACTTATCAAGGCAAGGTAAGACTAGTCATAAAATTAACCTGTTTGCATAAATTAGGTTTCAGTCGTCGAATTGAAGAAGCTTCAGCAAACTAAAGCAAACGAGGATTGCTCTGTCGGCTAAGTATCCTGAACGATTCGTGGGGACTTTGACATACCGAGCAGTCTAGGATGTGTTGGACAATGGAGCTTGCTGGTAACTTGGGACCGTTCGCGACCATATTATGTGCAACTTGCTCTGAAATTCTGGTTGACAACCTTCTCTCTGTTCGGCCTACGTACTTGCTACCACAAGTACAATGAAAGAGGTAAACACATGAGGCGGTAACTAGAGGGTCTGGTTTGTCAAGGTTGGATTTACATAGCAGCATCCTTACTTGGTGCAATAGCACAAGTTCGGCCGCATAATAACACTTCTTTATCATCTGGCGGAGACGGTGCTGGAATCTTCTATCATTTTGGTCCCCTTTAAACGGCAGTATAATAAACACTTTTATCTTAAGGACATCAGCCATTCATTTTTCTTTGCTGTTTGTGTTTGCGTATCGTGCTACAAATCTCTTAGGGGAATCTTTTCCTTGTAAGGTCGAGGATACGTGCTCCAACTTACTGCTGATAGCATCTTCAGAGCAAATCTTGCGAGTTCTCGCAAACGTGATGCGAACCAATGCTCGTTTATAGTTCATAAGACAAACACTGTTAAACTTTAGGTACAGTCCTATCCAAGTGGGTTTACGATCCACGGATCAAGTGAACGTACCGCTTGGATTTCTCTCTAGCTTTACATCCAAAAAGAGGAACGTGTTGTCGAGTTCAATTTCCATCGGGAATTTTGCAGCAGCTAGGCACGTGTTTAGAGCTTTGGGCACTAAGTTTTATTCGAATACGCCGACAAATACGAGGCTTAAACATAGGAAGGAAATACATGATTTTTATGACGTGCGCTCGTTGATTACCAACGTTCCACTGGAAGTTTCTTTAGATGTCGTCGGCGTTCATGCTGATAAAGTTGAATTTCCAATGCGGCATCTTACGTCATTATTGGGATTGCGCTCAAAAGACATTCAGCTACAAGCTGATGGAATTATCGATCGCCAGAGAGATGGTGTGGCCATGGGGAGCGCACATGATCCGCCATGGCCGATATTCTCATGAGCGAGTTGGAGGACACCGCGCTACGTGGCAGCATACAAAATGCCCATTTATGCTGTAGATGGATTGACGAGACTTTGTTGTGGTTGACACAGCATGACCGACAACGCACTTGCCCGAAGCTCTAAACACGTGCCTAGCTGCTGCAAAATTCCCGATGGAAATTGAACTCGACAACACGTTCCTCTTTTTGGATGTAAAGCTAGAGAGAAATCCAGGCGGCACGCTCACTTGATCCGTGGATCGTAAACCCACTTGGATAGGACTGTACCTAAAGTTTAACAGTGTTTGTCTTATGAACTATAAACGAGCATTGGTTCGCATCACGTTTGCGAGAACTCGCAAGATTTGCTCTGAAGATGCTATCAGCAGTAAGTTGGAGCACGTATCCTCGACCTTACAAGGAAAAGATTCCCCTAAGAGATTTGTAGCACGATACGCAAACACAAACAGCAAAGAAAAATGAATGGCTGATGTCCTTAAGATAAAAGTGTTTATTATACTGCCGTTTAAAGGGGACCAAAATGATAGAAGTTTCCAGCACCGTCTTCGCCAAATAGTAAAGAAGTCTTATTATGCTGCCGAACTTGTGCTATTGCACCAAGTAAGGATGCTGCTATGTAAATCCAACCTTGACAAACCAGACCCTCTACTTACCACCTCATGTGTTTACCTCTTTCATTGTACTTTTGGTAGCAAGTACGTAGGCCGAACAGAGAGGTTGTCAACCAGGATTTCAGAGCACATTCCACATAATATGGTGGCGAGCGGTCCCAAATTGCCAACAAGCTCCATTGGCCAACACATCCTGGACTGCTCCTTATGTCAAAATCCCCGCGAATCGTTCAGGGTAATTAACCGACAGAGCAATCCTCGCTTGCTTTAGTTTGCTGAAGCATCAGCAATTCGGCGACTGAAACCTAATTTATGCAAACAGACTGAGTTTATGACTAGTCTCGCCTTGCCTTGATAAGTGTTCTTGGTTGTCTTAAATTTAAGCCCATTGACCTTGCACGTTGTTTCTTTTTAGGCGCAACTCCATTTTTACGTATTGTAGGATAACAGCTAATAAGAATGGCCGGAATATCGGAATTCAGAGTATCTTGCTAAAATGTTGTTCCTTCATTCTATGTTACCATTTCGGAAGTATATTTGCGGTTTAGACCACCAGATCTCATGAACTGGCAATCCAGACCATGATGTTGGTAAAGATTCGATTGACATCGTGTGGTATGGCATGGTATGGCATATGATATGGCTAAGCTCTTGGGACGATCATGCATGCAATTTAGTCACGTGATCTTTACGGCCCAAACTGGTTTTGCTATGCAGTCAGCTAGTAGCCTTCCAATCAAAGTCGAAATCCGTACTGCCCTTGCTTAGCGATCCAAAATTAAGATTGCTTCTCCCTGATCGCGTAGTCAGTTTAGTCGGATGAGACCAACTTCGGCTAGCCAATAGGAAACAGTGGTCTACACACAAGTCAAGCTAATTGGTCAAAAGATTTACGCGACGCTGCCAAACATCAGCTGTAAAAGGAAACGTGATTGACACGTTCCTTTGATTTGTAGATTTGAACGCAGTGTGACCTTACGGACTTGCGCTTAACCAGTTGTTTTTTACAGCTCAGGCATCCGTTCTCACTAGGTAAGTCGAATTTTTCCGTCAAATTAGTCTTTCATTACCAAATGCCCAACATATAACAACTGTTGGAACCGGAGTGTCCGCACTAAGTAGTAACTGGTACCGAATCACACACTAAGCACACTTTAACACTTTGATCAAGATTACTGCCATTACTGTTTTAGATGCAACGCCCGGCTAGCTTACCTGCGAACTTTGGCAAGATGTTGAATAAAATGAGCAGAACTAACCGCCGTGTTTTGTGGATATCGGCTATTGTGCTATCGGGTATTCTCCTTCTTTTATTCACCGGTGGAGATGGAAGCAGTTGCGATGGAAGTTATGCTGCATTCACGGGCATACCCAATTTACATGCAGCCTATCAAAACTTTCAGAAGGGATCTACTACTCATTTACGGTATCCAGCCGACTTTCCCGTGATCATGCAAGATGTCAATCTGTGTCGATCAAGCGATCAGCCTAACCTAGTTGTCCTTATCAAAACAACTCATGAGCAATACCGCCTACGACAGCAAATACGTCAAACGTGGGGTAATTCGTCCTGCTACTCCAAACACGGGCTATCAGCACGTGTGTTGTTTCTTTTTGGTGTGTTGTCCGATCAAGTGGAGTTAAGGGATCACCTACAGACTCAGCTTAATTGGGAACACCGGATATATCAGGACATACTTCAGTTCGGTTTTGTAGACACTTATCGGAACAACACGCACAAAGTTAAAAGCGCTCTGAAATACCTAACCGAACGCTGCCCACAATCCCGATATATTGTTATCTTCGACGAAGACTTTCTCGTCCACCCTCGCAATTTGGTCTCTACTCTGAATAGTGTAACGGAGATTCAGTATCCCATATTATTTGCAGGACTGGTAAGAAATGCAGAGCGTCCGTTTCGGTACATATTTAGCAAGTGGTATGTTAGCCGCAGTGAGTTTCCTTACAACGCATATCCACCTTTTGTGTGCGGAGGGGCTGTGCTCATGAGCATGCCTTTTGCCAACATGCTGTCCTTCGGATTGCAGTCGATCCCTTATCTGTTCATGGATGACGTTCTCATGGCAATTGTAGCTCATGAATACAACATTCTTCCTGTGAATGTGGCGGGAATCCATTCGCCATGCGGACTAAAGCGACTCTATCGGAAGCTGGCAAGCAACCTGGTCGCTGCGCACGAATTCAGAGATGTGGCCCACCAAGCTATAGGTTGGACCATACTGGAGCAGCCGTGCTGACAGCAGTTGTCCAGTGAATTCCATTGCAACATACAAGATTTCCTATACTCACAGTTCATGGATAAAACAATGGAGATGCAACAGTGTAGGTGCATACTGATTGTGATCCCAAACGATCAACTCCCTCGTGTGGCCTTGACATAATGGACCCAATTGTCCCAGCCATCCAAATTGCTACCGCTGTAGATTTGCCAAGTAGAGGATTACCCCCATTCACCTCACGGCAATTTTATCTAAGCGCTTCCGCTAGGGTTACAGCATCGCTGCATTCTGTCTGCATTTATTCGGTGCTGTTTGTTGCTGTGACTGGAGGATCAGTCCACTGTGATGCCCCAGCTATTGTGCACAGGAAAGATGTACTGACAAGTCCCAAACACATGGTACGTAGATCCTATTTCAATCCCATCACACCTATGTATTGGTCGATTTTAAGTCCATCCAGCACATATATGTGGAGTAACATTATTCCATTGGATGATGATATATGCATTTTCTAGTACGAGTGATCCTGGAAAAGCCTAAAATCGTGGGTTTTTTGACAAAATCTGTTGGAATTGCAGTGGTAGCTCAGTTGCGATCCACGTTGAGGTCACAGCGAAGAGTCAAATCAAGGAAGATTTTGTAATGAATCGGTAAGTGATAAGATTGCACGTAACAATGCACTGAGTGAAGTCAGAGACACTGTTGATTTGATTTGAAGCGTCTTCAACAACCTTAGGAGCAAAACCTTAATGTGATAACGCTGTTGTTAAGAAAGCTCTACCGGGGTAGTTTGCCTCAGGAGGATGCTGAGTATAAGTAGGAATTAAGGTTGCTCTTTCCTTGTGTAGGTCGATTGAGAATCCGCCCCTAGGGTATCATGCCGTACCCTAAAATTATGTTCTCTGTATGGAAAACAGTATGGGATCAACTGTAAAACTGTATGGTAAACAGTTTAGGCCACATCACCATTCAGGCTAACGTAGAGCTCAGCAGCGTCTCACTTAGTGGTCTCTACGAGACCACAGCATTGAATCTTGCCTAAGTTTTCGAGTTGATAACACAGCAACTTTTTCTAAGTACTAGGTAGATGAAATAAACCCGTGCTATTTAGTGAAAGCCAGTGGTGTGCAACCATCAGTATAGGCTCAACCAGAGCCTATACTGTTCAGAGAGGCGTAATGTGCTGAGTGTTACTGCTAACAGCCATTGGTCAAGAAGCAGTAAATGCCTCAATTTCGCTAAGGTAGCAGTATCTAGTGGCTCCGTTACATTTCTCCGCTTAGTTTCATGGGTTTCATGGCTTTGTGCAAAACGAGTAAGCTTTGCTTTTCGGTGATTCTGCCTCGAGAGCTTACGGCAGGGTCCTGTTGTTCTGGGTAGGTTCCAAGTGTTGTAGATTGCGACTCAGTAGTGATGTGGGGCACAGGTATCCAGCGTCTTGGTTGTGGGGATGTGGCTACGTGGAAGAAAAGGACCAGTCTGCAAGTAAACGACCAATGGCGGTGTTATTGCTTTGCAAGTGAGGGCATAGACGTGGCAGTACGAGGACTCATATATGTCAAACAGTGGGACAATTCGGTAAAGTTATATAAGAACTAAATAAGGAGAGTTTCGCAAGCTAGTGTGTCAAAAGTAGTAACCCTACCAGCTAACTTAGCGAATGACCCGTCTTTCAAAATGAAAGGCCAGCGAGGCAACAGTCAAGCATCTAGGCGTCGTTTGAACTCCTCTGTATTATGTACTGCGACAGGCAGAGCGTTCCAGACGAAGGCGACACGAACACTAAAGCTGGTTCTTTGGTACTGAAGCCGTCTACTGCGTGTCATGAGTTTCAGCGAGTACCCTCATAGATGGTCTGTGCGGGCGCGAACTAGTAAGTCGGTATTAAGGTGCCTGTTGTTAGTCAGGATAGAATAGCCTAGGATAAGGTCACCACGAAGCCTACGACATTTCAGTGGGAAGAGTTTCAGGGCCGCAAGGCGCTCTTCGTACGAGAGGTGGGATAGTCCCTCTATTCTTAATGGCTCTGCGCTGGACGGTTTCAGCAGAGCCCCGTCCTCCTTCAGATACGGCTGTTGAACCAGTACATGGTACTCTAACAGCGGACTTACCAAGGTGCTGTAGAGGCGGACAAACATTTCTCTAGGGAATGACCCTAAGCACGCCCAAGGAGGGTCAGAGGCATGCCGGCCTTTCTCACTAATGGGGCTACGTTAGCACTTGGGCTCAGATCGGCGGATATAATAGTACCTAGGCCGCGTTCTTGGGATATGGCGTTAAGACGCACGCCGCCGATAGTGTATGGTGTGCTCGTACCTTGTCCGCTGTGCATGACCTTGCACTTGACAGTTTGAACGGGAGAAAGTTTTCCGAGGCCCAGGAGTAGGCAGCATCGATGTCTCTCTGAAGACGCGGCTGATCGCTTGGCTCGCGGATAGGTCGCCATATCTTAGCATCGTCCGCATAGAGCAGTATGTGGCTACTAATGGAAGGTGGTAGGTCATTAATGAACAAAGTAAATAGCAGGGGCCCGAGGATAGAGCCCTAGGACATCCTGGTCGTCGCGGCCAGAGTGCTGGAGAGTGCGCCATTTACACGAACTTGGTAGTTGCGGCCGGATAGATAGGTACTTAGCCAGTAGATTTTTGCTGATCAATCCCCAAACTCGGTAATTTACTTAAGAGGACTGTGTAGTTAATCCGGTCAAATGCTTTTGAAAAATCAACAAACCACGTCAGTCGGAGCTTGTCTATCTCTGCTGTCTGGGAATCAAGAACTTCGAGAAGATTCATGGTGCACGAGTGAGCCCTGTGGAACCCGTACTGTTCCGGGGCTATTAGAGACTGGCTTTCTAGATGGTAGCGCAGAGCATCGTGTATGATGCCCTCCACTAATTGAAAGCAGTGGGAAGCAGTGCCATCGGGCGGTAATTAGAAGGGTTTGTTCTGTCACCACCCTTATATATCGGTGTTATGACCCCAGGTGTTCGGATATTCTGCGCTGGTGTGGGAGCGGCTGTATAGTGAGGTAAGCTGTTCGGCTAGTACGGCAGCACACGCACGCAGAAATATGGGAGGAATCCCATCCAAACCCGGCGATTGGTTTCTCCTTAATTTTGCTAATTTTTCCAGAACATTCTCTGGCGCAAAGTGTACTTGATGTTTGACAGCGCCGGGAGTGAAATTAGTGTGCACTATTGTACTGCGTGCCGATGTACCCAAAACGGACTCATACTGAGCCTACAGCAATTCTGCAGCTACCTTGTCCGCCGTTGTAGTGTTGCCGTAGGGTCAGAACGGGCTGCCGATGGCAGCCCACGATTTAGTGAGAGGCAGTGTGCCGAAAGAAGACGGAGTTATCGGCGAAGCGTCTAGCGCTAGCAAGCTGGTAGGCGAACAGCTGCTACACAGGAATTTCGCACTCTACGGTATTGTGCTCAATTGCCACTAATTGGTAAGTATCTGTCCTAGAGTGCCGTCTTTTACCTGCTCATTTCAAGTGTGGCGGGCTGAAGCTGCTTATGGCCTTTCGGCGCAGAAACACGCACTGTAGGAACGTATGCCCAAATGGCGTCGTTGATGTGATTAGCGATGTAGTTCCATTGGTCATCGACTTTGGGAGTTTGTGCTGCGAGGGACCTAGTGGGTAATGCTTTAGCGTTGAGCGTGACATTTGCCACCACCCGAAAACTGATAACTACGTGATCACTGGCCCCGAATGAGGCGTTCAGTTTTACGTTCTCAATTAAACATGGGTCGTTATTGAGCAGCAAGTCGAATTTCGACGGGTTTTGCCCGTCTCGCCACCGAGTTAACTGCTGTACCTGTTCGCTTAGACCGTGTTCTAAAATACTGGTAAGAAACTCGTGGCTGTGCTGGCCGTGAACCTGGGCAGAGGCAACGTCGATCTCCGGGAAATTAAGGCCTTTTGCGATGAGTAGGGGGGACTTAAGTTGGAATCAACTATTCGAAGGGTTGCATTCCAGCTCCACAGCCATCCCGGAGGAGCTAAAGGCGGGCGATAGATCAAGCTAGAGTGAGACTGGTCGCACCGGAACCGCAGAGACGAATCCAGAGGGATTCAGGAAGAGATGGCATTTCCGGTGCTTTGAGAGGGACGCATGTGAGGCGGTCTGATAGGTACACAGCTACACCTCTGCCCCTGTTGTGTGCACAGTCGTTTCGAAGCAACGCCTATGCTGGGATTGCTACCTCGGTGTCGAAAACATCTGGGCAGAACCATGTTTCGGTTACATAGATGACTTTAACTTGCGTGTAAACCCAAGAGCAGCGATTTCGGGCACCTTGTTCAGCAGTGATAGGGCGTTAGTGTAAAAGCAGCTCCACGTGTTAACATAAACTGCGGGCAACCAGTGGTAACAAGGTGCAGTTGGTATGGCAGTAAGGGTTTGGTTTAGAAACGGTTAGACGTCAAGAGCTAAGTGTCTGAGCTTTCTACTGAAACTTGAAGCGGACATTGGCCTGGATCCTTGACTAGCTGGAAAGATCGAACTTCAGAAGCTCTTCGTCACAGACAAAATCAGCCAGTGGAATGCTTCCGTGAGATAAGCTACTTCGTCCGTTGGTTGACGTTAATGGATGCAACAGCATATGCGGGCTTCCGTCCAAAAGTTGTTTCTCAGTGCAGTGACTGAAACCAATCCTCATTACTAACTTTCTAAAGCGTAGAAAGTTAGTGGTTCCATCGGTGGAAAATCTGCCTAATGATCTCCTCAGCTTCCTTAAGTTTCGCGATGCGCTGGTCACCCAGATCATGTGGCCACCCTTCTGCCAAATGTTAATCCACTACTTACCAGTTTCGAGACAAGCGTAGCTGAAATACAAATAGAACGTTTCAAGATGATGGGTCGTTCATTGGCTACTATTATAGCAAGCGGCTGCTCATGAGCCAAACCCTATCCTCTACAATGTACAAATTTGTATGCGTCGCGCTATATCGCAGATAGCCAGCTATTAGAATCTGCTACCGTTACTCGTGAACCTCCGCACAATCCTTTGACACATAGTGATCATGAGTTCCTGATGGCGCCAAGTGGTTGTGCGCTATTGAGAAAATCCATCCGGACGAAACGGCAGTCTAGGGCTTTTCTAGACGTGGAACTTGTCTGGAGGGTCTACGACTGCGAAGAACAATCTATGGGCATCATCTCGATCTCTCCATCTGCAGTGTCATACTTTTTCATCAAGATTATTCCGACCCACCCTCGCTGTGTAATATCCTTCACGGCAAGCTACCTCTGAGGCTTGTAGCCCTGGTGATGGCTTCGTTCAAATAGCAGGCTCATGTAATACGTCTAACAGCGTGCTGCAAATTAAGAAGTACTCCTCAGTCCTGTTCACAAATTACCAGCTGGCTCTGTAGTCGATCAGTATTTAACCACCCTTCGCCATTTGGTGATTCGTTACTGTTATCTTTTCGTGGTAAAATTTGAGATGAGTAAGTGTCGGAAATAGACCCACGGTCTATCTAGACACAATGTTTGCTTAGGATTCATGATCAGATAATTCTGTTGTC